ATTCTTAGAGGCCTCTCCTGTTGTTTCTTAAAACTGTTGTATAAGTGTAGCCCAACTCTTCTTGTTTAGCATCTTGTTGAACTTATGCACTTGTTTCGAATGCTAATTTTATTCCATTTGTGATTAGCAGGGCGTCTTTCTTTACTGAAGATTTAAATTGAGTATTGTTGCATCCATGCTCTCACTAAGAGAGCTGCCAAATATAATGGTGCACAACACAGGGCAGTGAATCAAAATTTACATTTCAATCAGTAACATCATCATAACATTAAAGGTTAAATAACAGCAGGTAAGTGTAGAGCCACAATGAAGGAATGAAAGCGAGTGATGCACATTGGTATGCGATGTGCATCTGGGAGGAAAGTGAAGGGTTCATAAGCAGGGGTTTCTGCAGGATTCACACAGGCTCCTCCAGGAGCAGCTGAAAGGCCTTGATGTGGACAACAAAGTGAGAGATCTGGAGGAGACAGACCTGTTATTCAAAATCATCATTTTAACAAAATAGTACAGCATTTTGAGAAATATGCTTATTTGTTTTGCTGCCAGAGATTTCAATTGGTTTGTTTGTGTGTGAAAGTGCAGAGATGGAGTTAGGAAGCAATTAGCATAGCTTAGCAAAATGACTGAAAATAGGGGGAGACAGCTAGCCTGGCTCTCTGCAGAGTTAAAAAAGAAAACAAAAAATCAATCTGCCTACCAACAACTCTAAAGCTCACTTATTAACATGAATCTATTCGATGCATAGATAAGCTGTAATGTAAAAAAAAAAAAAAATTGTGGTTGTAGATGGAGTTACTGTATATGCTTATTTCCCAAAACGCTGAACTGATCCTATAAGAGGAACAGGAGGATTAAACTGCCTCTTGCTCTCTGGGAAATGTACTACTCATTACTGTATGTTTTTCATTATATCACAGAATCTAGCTTTTGCATCCTTAAACCTTCCAACCTCAGGTAAATCAATCAGCATCCATGTGAAGTGCCAACATAAAGTCAAAAGTTATGAAAACAGCTCCACTGGGTGAAAACCAACTTCAGCTAGCATTTGTTCAGGGGATGATGATGATGATGATGATGATGATGATGATGATGATGGCAATGACAGTTTTGAGATAATTTAGCTTTACCCATTGTGCTTGTGATTATGTATGATACTTTTCTGAATTAATCAGGCGCCTTTTCCAGGTAGTTCCACTGATTAGCTTCGACCAGAGAAGAGATACTAATCACTGAAATCACATGTGTAGTGTTTGATTGCTATGAAATCGTGGATAGCTGACCCTCTGGAGCACACAGCTGCCCATCCCTGCTCCAGCCACAGCTTTTGGAAAAGATTAGAAAACTCTCTACATTGTGTTCATCCAGAGAGGACAACATGTGCCCCCGTCCACCCATCCACCCCATTCTTATTTTCAAAGTCCTACCGCTTTGATTCTTCAGGTCAACTACCTGAGACTAATTAGACAGTTGCATAGCAACACGATGATGCAATAGTCCTTGTGCCCTTTGAGCCCTTGTTCCCTGTGGCATTAGCAAAGCTCACAGCTGTGCTTTGTGTTTGTGCACAAGAAGCAGGAGGCACTTGAGCAGCCTAATATCCTGCCATATTCTCCATCATACACTCAACCATAACCAGTTATGCTGATGAGGTCATTAACTAAGGTAATGAATGCATTACTTAGCATATGTTGACATACTTGTTTTCAAACAACACACGGTGGTATTAACATTAACAACTTACCTTAAAGTATGAGGGTATGAAGGAGCTGCAGTGAATTTATTCTCATCAATATCCAAATGTATGCAGCAAGATGCTGAAAATTTGAAGCCAATTATCTGCACCATAGGGCATGGCTGTGGTGCAATATATGACCTTTACTTCCTGTGGAAATTTGTGTTTGTGTTGGTGTTCAAATCACTGTGCCATCTGTGTGCCTGCATGTACACACACACACTATGATGGCACCATGACAAATGTTACGTTTATAATGTTATTTATGCAAATATATTGAATCACAGCGTCACACTGTTGTTGGTTCCAACATATGTTAACCTCTGATGCTATATAAGTCTCCGACCATCTACCAGGGACATAAGGGCTGATTTCACTCACAGCAGCTTCAATTTGAATTTCACTTTTAAAATATTAGTTAACAGTGCTATCTTCTCATTTCATACAGCGGTAAATCACACTCATTTACTCAGAAGCAATACTTTTAGACCGATGATCCACTCTTTCACTAGCTTGACCGTCTTTTTATTCTCACCCTCCTGGCACGTCATGTGACATTATCACTCTTGATTATCCTGAGGCCTGAGGAGGACTCGGCGAAGTGTGGGTGTCGAAATGTTGCCACTTTCCAGGGGCTAACTGGCAAGGACAGACAACCAACCCACAGAGGGCCAGTGGCTGGAAACCTTTCCTCAACACTAAACTTCTCAGGCTAGGACCAGATGATTCGACGTGGCATGACAGGTGGATAACAGTACAAGGGACAGCTGGACGCTGTGCCTCACAGGCCTGCTGGGACCTGAAGAGTGTCCAGTTCAGAGCTGATTGAAGCTGGCGCACTTTGTTTGCTGTGCCGCTACCCACAATGCAGTGACCACTGAGGCTGAATGGTTAAAATAAATAATAAGAAGGTAAAACAAAAAACAAAAAAAGACATGCTGCTGGGAGTTGAACAGTTGGCTTGCATCATCTCAGTGTTTCAAGTCACCCAATTAGTAACAAACATGATTTCACAGGAAATGTTCCCTATTATTAATCCATGACTGTTGGAGAATAACAAAATGAAATGACTGCTGGTATTACCATATTATTGGCAGATGATTTTTTTATGTTCACCTGCTCTAAAGATTATCATTGCTAATTTATCTACATGTATTTAATAAATTGTTAGCAAATCCTCATGGGGAAAAAAAATACAACCTCTTATACAACCTTGGAAAAACAGCTTCCAGCTGTTTTCATATCTGGTCAAGTTGCACTGTGATGAGATTTTTTTTAATACACAAATAAAACTGATACAGAGTCAAACTGTGTAGCTTCATTTGTGTTTAAGTTTTCAGCTATCTAAAGCATCATTAGAGGAAGCTATAGACGTCAGTTTTTCCACAGACAGCTGCCTCTGAATACAATACAGCCACACGACATTTGACTGTGGGCTGTTTATCCACCACTTTCATGCAATTAGTATTCAAACACGATTACCCTCAGCGCCTACAGGTACAGCATTCACAACAACTCAATACAAGACGTTCAGGTGGATTCTCAGAGAGATATCTGAAAGGTTTTATTGTAAATGTCAGAACTTCAACAAGAAATATCTCCAGAAAATAAACAACCACAGACTGATGGTTCATAGTGTTTCGATTTTAAATATTAGACTGACGTTCATTATTAAACTTCTTAAACCTCACTGACCAGTGGGCAAGTCATTAAAGAACCATGTTGTGCTGCCAAAACGTGTTCACATCCACAGAACTTTATTTTATATTCTGGTGGAGATTAAAAACTTTCCAAAAATGTCAAGCTGCATTGTAAATAATGTCTACAGAATGATTCGTAAGACATTTTAAATATATTCTATTTGAATGATAAGCCCATAAAAATATAAGTGATTCTGTCAGAAAATGTGGAATAAGAGAATTTTTCCAACTGTAAAATACTTACAGGGAAACAGACAGAAAGATTAATGTTACTGGAGCTGAGCATCTTCAGACCTGGCTTGTTGATGCTTTGAGGTTTGCTATTTCTTCACACTTCCTTCAGAGAAACTTTGGGAGAATCTTTGGGTTTAAACATTTCTAATGTTCCCAGCAGTTGATTTGAATATCTGCCAGATATGGAAAACTTGAGGAGCATTCCCTGCTAAATATCTCCATTTTGTCTGTGACTTTATTTTCTAAATTCCATGCAGCATGAGTATTGGGTTGGATTAACTCTGGTTAATTGCAATGAGATTGCAATCAAAGTTTCAATTAGACTGCAGCTCTAGTTAGGTTACTCCCTCCTGGGTGTTGATTTGCGATCTGTTAATTTGGCATTAGAGTATTAGTCTTCTCGCTCTCTGTCTGTCTGTCTCCATCTCTCAACTTAGTGGATGTGTTGGGACCTTCATTATAAGAAGCACAAAAGAACAGTAATATGTGTGTACTGAAAGGCTTGGTTTGTGTATTTTCTCAAATGAATAAAATTACTTATGAGTGTATGGGGGATGCACAGTGCAATATAATGACCTGATTGTTCACAGATGTTGATTGTACCCCAGGGTTGCCAGCACAGTAAATATTGCTGTTGGTGAGTTGTTTGTACAAGTGTGGAACTGGCAGCGTCTAAACACTCAACACTCACTTAGAGAAAGAGGAGAGGGCATTGAAATACGAGGTATTGGCAGCTTTACAAGTTGCAACTGCCATACAGGTATTAAGGATTGGCTTACAAACTACAAAAATGTATAAACTTTATTCAGCCCTGCTCATAACATAATTTTGCCTGAATTACCAAAATAAATCGAAATTAGATGAAGGATTTCCTCATCAATCAAGTAGGGGGAAGCAACATCTTAAACGACATTGGTCTGTTGTGTCAATATGAACACGAAGAAGAAGGTCACAACGAAGGGAGCGTAGAATTAGACTGTGTAGAGCAGTTTGCTGTAATGGAGAGTAAATTAATTAAGCTTTTTAGTGTTTGTTTCCATTGACATTTGAAAAGACATCATGTAGAATTGAATTTTGCAATATTGATGCTTATGGTGTGTACCTATTATGGGCTGATTCAGTACATATCCAGTAATAGTTAACCAATTAAATTTCTTACCTTTTCAAATTAGATTATGTTTCAGAAATTTTGTAAACCGATGTATTTCCTTGATATTTTCATATCTAACAAAGCACAACCATGAATTCGAAAATACATTAAAAAAAAAAAGGCAGAAATAATAGTATTTACCAAGGCAACGTACAGTATAACGTTACATGTCTCTCTATCTGTTACGGCTCTATGGAGAGGTTGCTGTATTGTTTTGATTAGGAATATCATTTGGGCAGTCACAGCCACGGATTACGTTATCTAAGGTTAGTTTGTAGTGAATGGTTTCACTATATATATTTAATATTCCATTTAATGGTGTTTCAGATCGTATTTTGACGAGTTACCGTAAAGTAAAGCTGGGCGTTAGCTTACCGTTGCTAGCTAACAGCTTGCTAAAGCTAAGTAGCAGCACAGCTAGCTGTTCGCTCAGAGGTCTAACATGCTAGTGCTTTACTATCGTTTCTTTTTATAATTCCAACGTGTGTTTGTTTATTGTAAGGTTGCCATTACTCATCATGGAAGCCAGATATGTAACAGTCATACAGCAAGGGATTCTACTGTTGAAGACCGAATTTCAGTTCAACTGTTACGATTGATATTAGCTAACATAGCTGGCGCTAGCCAATAACGGTGCGTGTTGCCAGCTGGCTATACGGCTTGAATGAATTATGTCAACATCTCAGTTGAACGGTATACATAAGCCACTAAGTTAAATATAACCACTCAATGGACAGTGTAGCGATATTTGAACATACTTACTCTATCGCCTGCTTTCAGTATTGTAGCATAACAGTACAATCAACCGACGCTTCTACTACTGTTGACATGCCATACAGAAAGATTACAAACAAAAGAAATGGCTAAATCGCAATAAATACCACAATAGTTTGTTATGATAGCATTTAGCAGTCTCTTTTGGTTATAATGTAGGGATAGCCCGGTTCCAAATCTATGTTAGCCTTGGGTCACTTTTGGCTTGGTTTGCCTATTCAGGTATTCATAGTTAGGAATAAAGAACTTTGAATATTAGAATGTACAATAGACAAATACCATTTACATACACCTAAAGGTATTCATTAAGTTTCAAAAGATAAGCCCCCCCTAGCAAAAAAGTGAACCTATGACATGAATGTTATACTAGACTGCTCAGGTAAAACTCAATGTAATTTATCTTTGAATCGTGCATTATATGCTCTCAACCAGCAGAGGGCGGTGCTGCATAGCCTTAACGTGAACGCAGAGGGAATTTCTAGAATAAAATTTATTCTTAGGTTTGCTTAAATAGGCTTCACAGAAGAGGTGACACACGGGGGCTCCTCTTTTTTGCCAGGATCTCTGATGACGGCATTGATAGGTGTCACTGGAAACTGACTTCAGTCATAATCAGAAATGTTTGAAACAAAACCACAATGTACTTACCGTTTGCAGTTTCCCACACATATTCTCTTCCTAACAGGGCTTTTTTTGTGGTAGACTGGCTAATTCCTCTGTATCCTTTCCCACAGTATTTAGTGGCAAGGGGACAGAAATCTCAACCAGGATACAGAGGCTCATTTCCCACATAGTCAATTAGGAGAAGGTCAAAGGTTAAAACACAATGATATTGTTCCTATTTTCAGAGCTCAAACTACTCTGCGCCAGTGCTGAGTCAGCATACTGTTTAAATGAGTGCTCTGTCAATAAATTTTTTTTTTTTCTTAAAACAGACATACATGTTTTGTAAAGTGGTTTTTAGAATGAAAAATTAATCATTTATAATAGATTTTCATATTGTAAAAGTTATTTCAAGCTAAGATTTTAACATAAGTAAACTGTGTTTCTGTTAGTGTGTGTACTACAAAGTCTATTTAAAACTTAGTGAGACCAGAAGTTAAACAGAGAACAGACTTTTTTTTCTTTGCGGAGAGCTTTGTAGCATGTAGGTGTTCTCTTAACTCTAATTAACCAGGCAGCACCACTTCACCACTTCCTTCTGTTGAAAATAGGTTACATTAGCATCTGACGAGTGACAGAGATTCGGGGCGGTTTATTTTTTTATTCACTTGTTCAATAATGATTGATTACAGTAAGACATTTCTGTTAGAGGAAATGTGGCTGGCCAAGAGGAGGTTTTGAGCCAAGGCAGGGAGGAGTTTGGAGGAAAAGCCGAAAAAGTGCTACGGCTATAGAGGGAGCAGTCTGCTCTCAATTTCCTGGCTGGGCAGCATCCCTGGTGATAACACCTCAGTCAAACCCTGTCTTAAAATACTTAACCCACCCTCCTCCAGATGGTAGAGGCCTTACGTTAACTAATCACTGGGTTTTCCAGATCATACATTAAATACTGGTATGAAATGTTTTGTTTTCTAACATTTCCCATTGTTTTCCTTTAGATTGTCCTTGTAGTCACAGAAATCATGGAGGAGCAGCAAACAGGCTCTCCTGCAGCCAATACCGACAGCAACAGCCAGAGAAATGGAGATGAGGTAAGAGCTCAACACACGGATATCAAATGACATATTTTGCAGTTTTTCCACTTCAGACTCCAAGGGGGGGGGGGGTTGCTACCTGGATCTTTAAAACGTATCTGTTTTTGTTATCTTTGCAGAAGCCCCGACGTGGCAGCTGGACCAAGGGGAGGAAGAGGAAGAAGCCAATGAAGGACAGCAATGCACCCAAGGCACCCCTTACGGGCTACGTTCGCTTCATGAACGACAGACGAGAACAGCTACGGGCAGAGCGTCCAGACGTGCCCTTTCCAGAGATTACGAGGATGCTGGGCAACGAGTGGAGCAAACTGCCCCCTGAGGAGAAGCAGGTCAGTGAAGAAGTTCCTGACAGGATTAAACATTGAGCATATAACTGTGAAGAACAATGTGTCAAAGTTCTGTATTTCTTTCCTTTACACTTTGTCTGTTATTTTGTGTATGATAACCTGCAAAGTGCTTAAAATTATATTAAAGTGATCATATAGATTTGTACAGCAATATTAAATAACGTGGTTGACTGCTCTGAAAGAGCAATGGGAGAAAATAAACGGACCACAGACAGGAGCGGCTAGCAGCAAAACCTGTTTATGTTTTTGATTAACATGATAATGGGTTTTTAATTGTCATTCATGGATTTCAGTAATTGCACCATTCATGTCTCAAAGGACTGAGCTTAAATATTCACCTGCAACATGCCAACAGTTCATCAAATTTTTCACTGTGCACAAAAGCAGTGTAGGAACAAAAGCATGTAGAACCCATGGTGTGAGTGTTTTTGGAGCTGATAAAACACTGACTTACACATGACTGTTTTGGGTAGCTGTTTGACATCCTTACATAAACTCTTGCCACAGTTTGATGGCTTCTTTTATATGGTCCAAGATATGTCTTTATATATCCCCTCAACTGTGATGTGAGAATATCAGAAAAGAGTTGACAAGGAAAAAGTTGCTTTCTTGTAATGACAGAAACATTATTACAGTCACAGGGAGACCTTTCATAAGAATTTGTCACTCCACTGCAAATATATCCGACTGATACCGCTGCTTCACCGAGGGAACACTGAGGTGTGCTTTTTAAAATATGGTAGAATGTGAATCAGCAAAATCATAATCAAGTTCCACTACCTTTAAGTCACATCAGCAGCTCAGAAGTTCATCTAAAAGATGTTATACTTTTTTTATTAAATTAAATTCTGTCTTTACCGAACACATGAATATTTTTTGAACTGTACATTTTACATAATAGCAGCCACAGTGCTTCACACATGAATCAATAAAATTCCTCATCTTTGTCAGTAACTGTACCTATCATCATGTCATTGACAGTTGGAACTTGTAGTTTTCTTACCTTTTCTTTCCAGAGAAGAATGGCCATGTTTTATATTTAAATCCAAAGGTGGGATAGAGCCTGGATCACTCTGCTGCTGATTTGTACCACATTGTTATTTTACACAGAGTTCGCAACAGACAGATTTCGCAGTATCCTGGGACAAGGTCTTTGAATAAAGATGGTTTTATTAGCTTTTCTCCTAATACCAAAATTAATTATATTACAAGATGCATTTTTGTTTCAAGCGTTGATTCAGTGAAGGTTATTAATATTGGAAATTACTGATTTTTGTCTATTGAAAGGAACTAATCCTGATTAGGAATAATTACTCCCACTGATCATGCCATCTCACACACAATCCTCCTTCATTCTCTTTCACCAAATCTCATTTCCTCCTGTTTTGAGTCTTGCCAGCTCTCCTCACCTTTCTTTCTTGCCCCTGCAGCGGTACTTGGATGAGGCAGAGCGAGATAAGGAGCGCTACATGCGGGAGCTGGAGAAGTATCAGAAGACAGAGGCCTACAAACATTTCACCAGGAAGGTCCAGGAGAAGCAGAAGGGCAAGCGGCACAGGGGAGGTGAGATCTGGTTAGATAAGCAGCAGGTTGGCAAGTTAGCACCACATACTAAAGCTTGATGGTTTGGCAGTTAGCGAACAATTATTTTCTGGTTGTACTATTTAAAAAGTAGTTGAAAAATCTAAGTTTTCATATGTCTGGTCTCATTTCCTGCCCAGATAAGTTGGCAAACTTGAACTTGAATCTGAAATGAATACCATACACTGCAGCAAGTATTCAGTATGTTGTTGCAGTTTCAGTTTTCTTTTTAAAATCAGTTTTTACTCAAATGTAGATATAGAAGTAGAAGTTTGAAATCTCCGCTCTGGCTTGAAATTTTTGCGGTGATGTTATAGATACCCTTGAGCAAGGCAGTGAATCATCAAGTGGAGCTCCTGTGCAGTACAAAGTAGAAAACTTTGGTCTTGTTGGGCGACTTTGATAGATGTTAATGTCTGCAAAAAAGAAAAATAAGGCTAAACCTGCAGGTCGACAAACGCTGCCAAGACTAACAAATCTTTTCCTACTTGGACCACTCACCTGGAAGATTTTGCATTTACTACTTGTATTGTGAATTACTACATACTTTGAATATATTCCAGTATTCAGTGTATTAACTCTGAACTCATTATTTTGCTTTGCTTAGTCAATGGAAATATGGCAAGGGAAGGGGATACTTTACAAGTTCATAGTAGTTCAGGTTATAAGTTATAGTTCAACTTGAGGCCAAGGAGCCGTCACTGCGCTCACACAACACATGGTCTGTATTATCTGTTCCGATTGTGTTACGGTGGATAAATCTCAGTTTAAATATCAAAAATGTTGATGACATAAACAGCTCTGCCCTGGCAAAAAAAAAAAAAAGTTAGGAGAAACGTGCTCTATTGAAGTGCATGGTCTCAGTTCAGTTGATTCAGAATATCTTTTTTGAATCACTTATATTCATTTTAGCAGTTCACAACATGGTAGAGGCACGCTGCACTGTGCCGGGGGAAACATGATTCATCTACTGTCCTCTTTCATTATTCTTTCCTTCCTCTCCAGATGTCGGGCACCAGGTAGCCAACGAGGCTCTTCACGAGGTCAGTAACTCTTTCTTGTCCTGTCACACACACTAAAATAAAAAAAAGTAAATATCATATTTAAAAAAGCAAAGAAATCCTTTTCTAACTATCTAAATATAAGTAATGAAGTATAATAATTAAGTGTTTGCTCCACAGTTTCTGAGTTTGTTAGAATGACTTGATTGAAATAATACTTTGGGGGTTGTTTTTGTCATTTTCTCACCCAGGAAATCTGTTTGTGTTTGCCCTCCCCTTGCTCTACACATTAAGTGCTTATTGTTGCATCACTAAAGCTGGGTTAATCCGCTTTGGTGCCGTGTTTGTGATCCAAACACTTGCCTTTTTACTAAGTGTGTAATTCATTTATAATAAGTTCTGCATGTAATTAAGAGGTTTCCTTTGTAAGTCTTTCAGGATACTCCAGAAGGGTTAGAGCCAAGGTGACTTTATTGGAATTAGCACTCCTGTGGGAAAACCAGTGTTTCCTTTCTAGATTTGAAAGGACACAGAATTCAGCATAAATTTCATTATGTGAATAAATGAGGAAGGATGATGCATTCTTTCAGAGGAGGGAAAATACAAGGGGAAACTGCACTGCATCTTGTGCTCCTATTGTGAAATAAATTTTTATTTCAAATGATTGCAAACCATCTCAGAGCCTTTGATAACATAGCAGCACCATAGATTAAATTACTTCTACCTCCTGACTTCTTATACTGTACCGCTGTATTTCCCCTGTGGCCAGATATGAAATCAATTACCCACCCACCCACAGCCGAGCTAGATGAATGACCACCTCTGGCTGTCAGTCTGTGTTGCCAAATGGTTTCACCGTTCAGCTTATCTCCTTCCCTCTTACTCTCTCTGGGTATTAACAGAAGGATGCAGAGGGGAAGGACAGAACTGTGTTTGACATACCGATCTTCACAGAGGAGTTTCTCAACCACAGCAAAGGTAAAGAGCCGCAACACAGCCAGCTGTATTGCTGAGAAAGACTTTGTACTTTGTGTGCTGTAACTTTTTAAAACCTCCATTTGTCTAAGTGTTTCTGAACACAGTCTTCTGCTACCGCAAGAGAACTTTTGTTTTATAGTGCTCCATCGTCCCAGAATAGTCCCACAGTCCGCAGAACCCAGTGATGCCCTGAACTTAAAAAGAACACACCTCTCTGAGCAAATTAAAGATTGATGTTGACCCCAGCTGCTGTGGCATCTCTCTAGACTTCTCTTTTGATCTACCATTGTTTCTATTTCTCTTTGTGTGTGTGTCTTTGTTTTTGTGTGCTCCTCAACAGCACGTGAAGCTGAGATGCGGCAGCTGCGTAAGACCAACATGGAGTACGAGGAGCGTAACGCGGCGCTGCAGAAGCATGTGGAGAGCATGCGCGGGGCAGTAGAGAGGCTGGAAGGTGATGTGATGCAAGAGAGGGGACGCAACGGGCTCCTCCACCAACACCTGGAGACCCTGCGCCAGGCGCTCACCTCCAGCTTCTCCGCTGTACCTCTGCCAGGTGACAACAGCCAGCAACACCTGCACCAGCATCACTTTATTCAGTCAGACTCCAAGTTACAAATGCACAACAACAAAAAATACATATAATGAATAAATTAGTCTTAAACTCTTGTTTAAGTGAAATTATCTTTTGTTTTTCCAATAGTTTCAATAAAAATAAAATAATATAATAATTAAAAATTCAAAAAATGACTCAACACAGTCTTAGATGACTTTTTATGCCGGCATTTCTGCAGCCTCCTAAGTTTGTTGGATATTTGCTGATAAAGAGTTCCTGCCTCATCTATTACGAGAGTGCAGACTTGGACCATTAGTTTTGGAATCTTGTACAAAAAAATGAAACACACTCCTTTTTTCAATCAATATTCTGCTGAATGTGAAAAAATACAATAAAGCTGCTTTGCTTTTGTCTCTGAAAGTGTACAATGTGGCTCTTGGGCTTAAGATGTACTGATTCTGATCAAAGTACATTATAAACCAATATTGATTTGATTCCCCATACCAGTGATCCATCCCTAGACACAAACACTGTGGTATGATATTAGTTGGAGTCAGAGTTTAAGTTGGCGAGACATAAATTATAATGTAGGTGTGGTTATACAGCACGAGTGTATTTACTGTGTCTTGAAGTCAAGCGTCTCTCCTCTTTGATCCACATATGTAAACAGATTATACAGTAGGATCACTTAATGTTCTTTTAGGGACTGACCACGTCCTGTAAGTCAAGCTTCTTCATTTTAAGCTATTCATTATTTAAATTGAAGGAATGTGGTCTCACTATGTTCGTACTTGTTTTATGCACGTACAGAACCTGTGCTGAGCTCACACCCACAGCTCCTCTCTTTCCATTTTCCTCCACACCTATTTGAATTTCTTGCTCACACAGCAGAGACACAGACTCTGCAAACAGCACAAATTGACACAACACTGCTGGAATTATTTCATAACAGCTTGACGGTGAAAGATGATTGCTAAACCCATTTAGACCTAGCCTCAGAGAAGCTGTTGGATTGTTAGCATGTGTACCCCTGAGTTTATAGGGCAATATGTTTTTTTTTCTATAATTGTGCCATTTTATTTAATTATCTTACTTATTGAAGGATAGAATCAACAACTTCTCAGTTTTACATCTTCTACATTTTACTTCTAGATCTAATAGAAATGACAACTTTTAAAATGACAACTTTTGAGATGATTGTCCTTTGCCTGATGTTGGCCAGACTGTTTGACTCTTGGACCCAGTGTCAGGACGCTCTTTGATGTTGCTTGCAGAAAAAAAACATAGATAGTGACAAGTAATGGCTGGTGATGTTGTGCCTGGGTCATTTACATTCTGATCAGTCTCGTCATTCAGTGATTCCAGTCTCCGGTGTTCAGCACAGAAAATACCAACATGTTTTTAACACTACAGCTGATTAAATTTTGCTGTGGGCAAGCAGTGGTTAAACATAAACAGCACTGCATGATGGGTAAGAACAATTTTTGAAAGTAAAAAATGAGATGTCATAAGATAATTAAATGTTCATGTTATACCATACGAACACCTTCCAGCTGAAAAACAAACCGGTCCTTGAGAAACTTTCAGCTGCTCACATCACACACTTGTTTGTCTCGCAGGCAGTGGAGAGACACCCAGTCTTGAAACGATTGACTCCTACATGAAGAGGCTCCATAGCATCATTGTCAGTAACCCCCAAGAACACGAGAATCTCATCAACACTGTGAGAGACGTTGTCAACCGTTTGGACAGGTAAGAGATGCTTCATTTTGATGTCTTTAGTGTATGATTAGTCAACTAAACGACTGAACATTGCTAGCACTGCTAGTTGGCACCAGGAAATACTACATACCTCATATTTTATTCATGTACAAGGCCAGTTAACTGTTGCGTCTAAGATGTTACTCAGCCGCCCGCCACTAGCAGCCCCCCTCTCCCTGCACTAATTCCTGGATTTTGTAAACAAGCAAGGTGGAAAGTGGGACAGAAGAGGTTTGGAAGTATTCAAATAAAGTTGTATGTTGGCTGTGTCAGAATGAACTGGCATATAACAACTCAACTGCGGAGAAATGCATAACCACATTCAGCACAGACATGTGGATGTTAACCTGCAAGAAAAGAAGGCTTCTTACATCAGCCACACACAAACCAATATGACATTGATTACCTGCAGAGGCTGGGTTCCTAATTAAATTGTGCTCAATGTTCTCTGATTGTTCTCTTACTTTTAGACTGGTTGAGTCTAAATGACCATTTAATCGCTAAGGAAATTAGTCTTAAGCACAATTTAGGGTTTCACCTCAGGGTCCGTTTACTAGCTGTTCTAGAGCTTGTCTAATTGTTTCAGCAAGGCTAGATGTTCTTTCGGTTCAGCTGTGAATGAATTATCAGATCATCTTTTTCTGTCTTTTGCCCCAGATAACTGGACCAAGTCCACCTGATGTGATGGATTGAGATTCACAGCGACATTAAGCAGATGCTGTTCCCAGGTTGATGCTTTGCCCCTTGACGGTGAATCTTCCTGTCAGTCTGTCATCACAGTTGATTTTAAAGCATCTTTTGTAACTCCGCTAAGGTGATGTAGGTGAAGGTGATGTAGCGTTTCATATTTATTTATTGTTATGTTTTTTCTATTTTTTACACATTCTTTTCTTTCACACTTTATTAATGTAGCTGTAGTTTGTTTTATGAAGTAATCAGATGACAGGGCATGAAACACTTTTCTTTCACTCCTTGCTCCTGTTCTGTCTTCACCATCCATTTATAGCAAATGCTTCCACGACAATATCTAAACCACTATCGAACATTTTGTATCTGATCAAAGAAAAATGTGTCAGTGGGTTTGTATTTACTGTATCCAAGACATATTGTTTAGCAGACTTTCTGTCTTCATGCTTTGATGAAGAAAAACATGTGCCATTTTTGTTGTTTCCTCTGTGAAAATGTGTTTTTGTGTTTTCAATAAATGTATTTACATCATATTTGCAGGCGGTTTGTTTGGATAGGTTCACAACATGCTGTTGTATATAACTACTAACACAAACAGTATTAGTAGTTAGATACCAGCTACCAGTGCCCTAGATTTCTTGTTTCATCTTATAAAGACTCTCTGAAAGTGTGAAGTACTGAAATAATCTCTCTTTGATGGCATGTTAAAAATTTGAAATAGAAATGTTACAGTCGCTAGAGTAATGATTTGCCAAACTAAATGCCGCATTTCCAGTTTCTGATTTGTTACACTGGGAACTGTTAGTTTTGAAGTCAGTCTACTATATCAAATAGAAATATGTGGCTAATCTGCTGTATAACATCACTGTTTGGAATTGTGCTTGGTCAGTGCCTAAGCTTGTTTACTTACAGTAGATGTGGAGTTAAGGTTTGGAGTGGTTAAGTTAATTGAGCAGCTTTGCTGTAATTTACTGGATCTGGAGAGAGACACAAATTATTTTGCACTCAGTGGCTCATTCACAGACACTGAGCTGCACAGCGGCTTTGTGAAACAATAATCTACTGTATCGTGTTTGAGAATTTCCCCACACAGAGCCATATTAGTTCAGAGAACAGCTGAATGAGCTACAAAATGACTGTGGAAGAATCTATGAATCCTTGTTAGTAAATTAGATTGTCAAATGTACCATTGTTTGATCATGAGCTGGCCAGTTAGCTTGGATATGAACTATCAAGTTGCAAACATAGCACTGTATTTGTGTTTAACCTGACGCTATGAGCCCTTCCTGTTTCCATTCACTGATGCCCATTTCCTCTTTGCCAGCTGATACTTCCTGCCCACAATGGCCACATGTGTCACGGTGTTATATCCAACAATGTCCCTAACAGATGTTTTGCTCCCACAGGAGAGTGTGTAAGTCTCTACAGTAAACTAATAATACACACTCTGTGACTGCTCTTATACTGATTGTGTTGTTTGGACATTGAGGGGATCCATGTTTCAGCTTCAGTCCAGCTTCTCAGAGCCAGTCTTCCCTGTGCCATGTGATACAGTGTGGAGAGGACTTTGGTAATTTACTGTTTGCAATTATAAACATTTAAAATTTTACAACCTGGAAGCTGATCAAATGTCAGCTTGTTTTACTAGTAGTATGAGTTTATTGTAAAAGGAAACCAAGAGATAGATTTGCAGTTTTAATAAAAAGTTTGTTGACCCTATGTACTGTAACAAGACTAGACTACAGCTACACCAGTGGCTCTTTGAAGCTCTATGTGTGCACAGTGATGCTTTTAGCTAAATGATAATGTCAGCATGCTCAAATGGTATAAAGTTTACCTTGTTCACCATCTTTGTTTAGTGTGTTATCATGTTAACATTTGCAAATTAGCACAATACAGAAAGTGAAGCTGAGGATGATGTAATGTCTTTAGTTTAGATAAATTTAGAGGTCAACAATGTTTGCAACAAAAAAATTTTGTCGGGGGATCGCCACAGTCAGCAGGAAGCCTCATCTGGGAACCATGAATGTCTGTAGTGCCAACCTAGTTGATGTATTGATATTTAAATGGTTATGTGAAAAGTGACATTAGATTTCATCCTATGGACACCATGAATATCTGTACCAAATTCATGCAATAACTGTGAGACATTTCACCAAAAAACAAAGTCAACCTCATGGTGGAGTAAGAAGACAAGTCAGCGAATCACCAAATTATTTATAATTTATCCTCTGAGAACCATGAATGTACAATATTTAATTCCTTTTCATCCCATAGTTGTTAAGATATTTCAGTCTAGACCAACATGGCTGACCAACTAACATTTCCATCCCTAGAGCCATGCTGCTAGCATAGCTAAATATGCAGGATATAAAGATATCGGAGCTCTTTTAAGTGTTAGATGTACGATGGGACTTAAACTACATCCAGTGGAGCTATGTGACTAGTGAGACACTCTCTGTCTTATTAGAGTTGTTTACCTTTTAACTTCTGGGATCATCTTTCACATGTGTACTGCACAAGTGCACAGAAGGCCCCAAAGCTCATTTGTATAATGAGCTTAGCTACAGCCCTTTTCTGCTTTGATGTCGGCCCAAAACTATAAAAAAAAAACAACAGGGAAAAGAAGGGGGGGGGGGGGGGGGGATAAATTGTAAAGAGTAATGGCTCGTACCTTGTTATTACATTTTAACCTCGAGTTTAAGTCCAGGTGTTGACCCATTTCACGCCCCCTCAAAGCGCCCAATCTGTCTTCTTTCTTGTTTAAAGACATGACAGAATTGTTGGAGCGGAGGTGCAGCCTGGCTGTTCTCCAGTCCCTCATCGTGTCACTCCTCTTGCCCTCTTCTTGCCAGATCATCATCACACCCAGTCTTTGTCCTCACAAAGAAACACCCACTGAAATACAAACACCCTCTTCCTCCACAGTGAGGCCATGTCTGCATCCTTGGCCAGTTTCCTGCCCGTGGAGTGGTGGGCTGACATAGGAGAGAGGAGCCAGCTCCAGCAGAGAGCCACAGATCCTGGACCAGAGGAGGGAGGGAGTGGCTCAGAGAGAGGATGAGTCAGGCGTCATGTGCTGAATTGGCACTCAACACTCTTAATGATTCTGTTAGCACAAGAAGAAGCACTATTATGGTCAAAATGAGCCACTTTTTGTTAGTGTATTCAGGCATGTGGGCCAATAAACATTTATTTTTATCATCTACAGTGAGATGCTACAGTAATTGATTTTTTAAATGTTTTCTGATGGCACAACCCCCTACCCCTTATTTAATCAATAAAGTATTCAGTTCAGTGAGTCACTGCTGAGGGATACTGTTGAACTTGGTGACCACTGTGACTGAATAGCCTTTTTTGGGCAATACTTAGTCATACTTTCACTTGTTCATGTTTAATTTCCTTTCTTTCTTTTTTTTTTACCTTCATTCAGTTATCCAGTTTATGCCCTATTTCAAATAGTTTCTCGTCAAAGATGAGACGCAGGTTGAGTCGCACAGTCCTTATGATTCTCTTGTTGATTTCCCAAACAGGACATTAAAGATCAGATATTGCAGTCAGCTGCAGAACAGCTTCTCTGCAGCTGGCGTCTTGGTTGTCCTCTGTGACTTGCTCAAAGATAATGAAGCAGGACAACAGCTTGATGTAACCCATCTCCCTACTGCTGCTCCAATGGCAGTTTCTCAACATGTCTGGAGGAAATTAGTTCTCATAAAACTAAAGGGATCTGACAGGAAACAGATAGAACCTCCAATTTGAAAATAAATGATTTTGACTTCAGTTGAAACACAATCAGAGCAACACATGTTGGTACAGTAATGTTCAAAATATGGGATAAAAATTTGGGAATCTAAATGGTGTTTGAGATACAGAGTGATGAGGGACGTGATATTGTAAGGTCTGCCGGCTTCTCTTACTTCCATAAGAGGGAAGAGTAACATTTCATTATACATTTCATGAAGAATTACTTTTTCTTCTGTTCCATCATCTGGGAAAATGTCCCCATTTCCAACTCTGCTGCTGATGTGAGTCATTTTAAACTTCACTGTGTCTCTTCCAGCCGACCCTGACTCATACCGCCCTGTCTCTTTCCCTCTCACTCTCTCAGATCTTTGGGACTGAGCTCCAACTGTGATGCATGTGAGTATTTTGTAATGAAATGCGCTCTATGATATTTTAAAAAAAGGCTGACACATAAAATCTTCTTCGTTTTTTTTCTTCATTGCAGATATAGAGCAAAACACTGTGTCATATTACATGCACTTTAAGAAATTAAATTATTTCCTTATGCATATTAACTTTGTTCTTTTGGAAATGATCTTATCAGTAGCAGTACCAAGGGACAACAAACCCACTGTAAGATCATCACACATACTGATAGTAATGCTTCTGACAGAAATTGTAGACTTAAAAATGTGTCTGAATGATGCTTTGTCATGTCAGTGTCTATTTGATCAGAATTGTGCATTGCTATTTCTCAGGTAAGTGTTTTACCAGTTCTTTTGATTTAACTTGACTTTATTAACTGTAACTTTCAAAATGGAGCAATTGAAGTCATTGTCTCCTCTGCCCTCATCTCCTGTTAACTCCTAGTGATAAGCATGGCACTGCCCTGCAGGTGAGGGATGTAGGCGGATCATACGAAACCCTGAGTGACATTTCAAAAGTGTACAACAATACCCCTCTAAGTCTTATTTATTCAGCTGGAGAAGCGGAGAGTTTCTCTTAAATAGGCAAAAGAGGAAAATGCGAGTCATCCTTCCTCTTCCTTGATCCATCATCCGCTCCATCTCCCCCCAGCCCTGGAAAATCCTTGGCCTCAGTGCCTGGGACTGGGGCAGGGAGGAGGAGGAAACAATGCATGGAATGTGTAAAAAAACTTGAGTCATTCCCACATGTCAACCTCTGGCTCAGCTCCTCCTCCTCCTCCCAAAACGCATGTTGCCTTCAGGTTCTCCTCATAAACTCTTATATCTAAGTTCTAGAGGTGTAAATGTCACGTGTCTAAACTAACCAGTGTTGCTGCAGCATGAAACTCATAGTTTATTGCTCGATTAACTAGACTTTCATTCCAAGGACAGACTTGTTACAGGTTTCACAAATGTGTCACTTTGCTGTTATATCAATTCTAAAATAATGAACTATAACTCAGTGCATAATTTCGGCTGCAATTATCAGCTGTTGATTCATCCCATCCAGTGACACTTACCGATTAGCTGTGTTTTTCATGCACATTTGGCTTTTAATTGTGATTAGAATATCTCCAACAGCACCTGAAGGCAGCAGGAAAGGAGGGGATTTCCTCTCTGGTGGTTATTATCCCTTATGAGAGACATGATGTCAGTAAAAGACATACTGCTGCTTTCAACGCTTTTCAATAACTGTAACATACACACACTGACTGTAGCTTTGTGCTGAACATCTGTTTGCCTCCTCCTGATGCCAGCTGTCTTTTCCATACAAACAGAGTTTTGAATAATTAGGAGTGCTTGAAATCAATTTGTGCTTTGAAGTGTGGCCTCCATAATTTAT